CAGTGTGGCACAGGGCCTAAGCTAGTAACTATATACTAAAAGACACACCAACAATGACACATGTCATCTCTGATAATTTTGTACATCATTTTATATCTAACATATCTTTCGTGACCCTTTCTTTTGATCAAAATTTGTTAATTAAATTTTTCGATTTTTTTATCATAAACAACCAATTATAATTATAATTTAATAATAGTTAGTTATTAAACATTACTGTGCATGACACGGGAACTAGCCTAGTTTTAGTTTTGTTTCTCACTATAACCGTCTTTGATTTATGTAGAATTACTCAAAAACTATTACTACTAAGTAATGTAATTCAATAATTAACAATTAATCCATTTTATTTATAAATTTATCAAGCTGCAAATTGTTTTAAAGTAAAAACCTGCAAATATTTTTTTAGAATTAACAATTACTAGTAATTCTATTATAATCGGCTTCAGAAACCATTACAACAAAAAAAAAGTTTTAATTTAATCTGAATTAGCTGTTTATGAAATTGGGGATGATCTTTAATTCACTCTCATGTTATAAGAAATTAGAACTCAACCTCTGCCTACTCATTTAGCCGTAACCTATATAATTATATAAACAATATAATGTTAGTTTCCTTGACCTTAGCTTATACGAATCCCATTAGGAAACAATATGATATATTTAGTTTCCTAATTCTATCTTCTTGTTTTTAAATTTATAACTATACTAAAATAGAGGGCCCTCAACACAGAAGCTACACGTGTCACCTTGACATTAAAAGTTTTCCCGCTCATTTCCGTCATTCTAATTAAAGCAATTATTCACTAAATTTATTAAAATCTTTATTTTCCTATACATAATACGCATAATATCAGAGAATATCAAAATTTGTGTATTATATTTTGATCTTATAAATATAATGCATGATTTGGAAAGTTTAAACTAGAAAATTAATAATTGATCTTATATTATCAAATAATATAGATAATTTATTGATCCTATATAGAACTCTAAAAACCCGTGATATTGCAACACTCAATTAAAGAATATTTTTTGTCAAATAAAACTAAAACTAAGTTTTATAATCAGCTAATAATATCTTTCAATACTTATATAATATTTTAAAACTACAATACTCATTTATAGAATATATTTTGTCAAATAAAATATAAGTTTATACTCGGTTAATTATATCTTTCAATACTTATATAATATTTTTTGTCAAATAAAATGTGAATTTTATTGAGCACGATATTGTTAAGCCGATTATACTACTCTTATGCCCCGTTCTCTTCACATTATTTTTGCTGAACTGAAATTATTTTTACTAAAACAAAATTTTATTAGCTTTTATAGTTGCTTTATCTACCTGAAGTCTTGTTGAACTTGAATTATTTTTACTGAACTTAAATTAATTTTACTGAATTGAAATTATTTTTACTGATTTTCTATTATAGTTTTTCTTTAAGAAAACTGAATTTTATTGAATTGAACTTATTTTAACTAAACTAAAATTATTTTTATTGAACTGAAATTAATTTTACTGAACTGAGCTGAAATTATTTTTACTAAATATTATTTTTTCAAGGTGAAGAGAACAAGGCCTTAGAGTCTTAGGAACCAACGTCCAACGTTGGTTTATAAGTACTTGATTTAAAATTTTACAAAATATTTCTAACTTTCCATTACTTATAATTTTCATTACAGTAGACAATTTTACAAAATATTTTATCTATCATATAATTTTACATAATAATTAGTAAATAAATACAAAATTCTCACTTTATACAAAATTCAATCATCCTTTGGAATTTATGTTTTGATATAGAAAATGTGATATATAAATGATCTGATGTAATATTTCATAATTAAAAAATCAAGATAAAACATTCAATATCATATTTCTTTTTAAAATCTCAACTCAATACTAAGAAATTTCAAAGAAAAAAATAGTTACTTAAAATTAGATCGTTCGAGATTTTAATCACGTATGTAAATGGGAAATGAATTGAAATACAAAGTTGCACACGGGTACAGGACAAATTAAGTATGGTATAATATATTCTGATTTTTTTTATATATATAAAATCTTCAATAGCATTTGATAAATTTTACTTTATACTTGCATATTTTTAATAAGCGAAAAAATCATTCAAAATTTCATCAATATAATAAATTTCTAGCAAATTTATTATTAAAAAATATAATAAAACTATATATTAAAGTACTCGATATTCATAGGAACACGGATGCGTATTGTGTGTCCAGAACGAGTACGATGATCATTAGAAGAATTCATGCATCATAAACTGTAACAAAGAAAGTAAGGGACGATTTTTGTCTTTAGACTTATCCGCAGGACATAAGCTTACTACACATAACAACTAACAAGATAAGCTTATATTTGGACATAACTAGCCGATCATGTCTTTTAAAAAAGTCACCAATTTGGATAGCAATTAAATTTATTTTTTAAGGGAAAAAAGATGCTAAAATATAACTTAAGTACCTAAAGATATGACCCAATAATGTTTAGCTTTTTTTAATGTAAATTGTACGGTCTCTATTAAGTGGATGAATTTATTTTTAACATGATGGTAACTTTTGATCAATTAATATAAAATATTTCACTATGCATTAAACTAACCTTAGTTGATTTTGTGAGATTTGGTATTTATACTTTAAAATCGTGCAATTGCACTGATGTTATACTAGTTTCCAATAATAATACAACTCGTTTTTTTTTTAATAATACAATCTTTGAATTATACCTGAATAATAAGACCTTAATTAGAAACACGATAAAAAAAACTTGTAGCGTGTTAAATAGGTTGCTCATAGCACGTGTCATCAAGTAATTGGTCTAAATATTAAAAAAAAAATTTTAAAAAAATAATTAATGTTAGAATTTTAAGTTTTGATAAAATTGTTTTTCTTTTATCATTTGATTAACTTCTAATTAAGTCATTTGATTTAATTTAAAAAAAAACTAGGTTAGTTATTTTTACTATTACTATCAATTCTACACTATTTTAATTAGTGTAACAAAGATTATTTTAAGAAAATTGTCTAATAATTTTGTGAATTAAACTACAAAAATATTTATTGAAATAATCATGGAAAATTGGCTAATTATGTATTTAAAAGCTATGCATATTTTTTTTTTGAATGGAAAAAAGCTATGCATATGATCATATTATTATTATTATTATTATTATTATTATTATTATTATTATTATTATTATTATTATTATTATTATTATTATTATTATTATAAAAATATCAAAAAAACTTACAAAGTCAATCAATTTACAAGAAATTGGTAGGGAGCCGAGATACAATCTGGGACCCCACCCTTAGCTAAAGATGGGCAACGGGTCGTGTCGTGCCGCCGCGGGCCGTGCCTAGCCGTGCCACAGTGGTGAGCGTGCCGTGCCTAAATTTGGCACACCCCAGCCCACGGCACGGCACGGCCCACTTGCCTGGCGGGCCGTGCCATGCCGGGCCATGGGCCAAACCGTGCCACTTTTTTATTTAATTTTTTTAAAAAATGAACGTAAATAAAAAAAAACGATATATAAATATTTTTTTAGTACAGCTTAATTTTATATAAATAATGTTATTAATTTATGTTTACGTTAATGTTAATATATTTTGTTTTGAATAACTTTATATTAATTTAGGTTATATAAATTATTTATCTAATTATGTTTAATTTTATATAAATAATTTTATTAATTTAGCAAAAAACAACAATACATATAATAAAAATTAAATTACCAGTGTCGTGCATGGCCGTGCCACGTGTCGTGCCGGCGTGCCGACCCACGGACCGGTCACCGTGCCCTCGTGCCGTGCCCGTGCCATTTCCCAGATTTTTGTTCACGGCACGGCCCACAGGTGAGCCGTCGTGCCGTGGCGGTATCGTGCCGGGCCCGTGTCGTCCGCGTGCCGGCACGGCCCATGCCCATCTTTACCTTTAGCTATACTACTACTACTACTACTATTATTATTATTATTATTATTATTATTATTATTATTATGTATTCCAGTGTGATGATAACATTATTTTCTTGTTAATTAAAATAAATTTTTATAGCTATATTAATTCAATACTCTTTGTACTCACTATAAAAATATTTCTTAACATAATTTTGATAATTTTCTACATCATTTTATATCTAACATATCTTTTGTAATCCTTTCTTTTGATCAAAATTTCTTAATTATATTTTTAGATTTTTTTATCATAAAAAAACAATTATAATATTAAACATTACCGTGCATGGCATGGGAACTAACCTAGTTTTAGTTATGTTTCTCACTATAACTGTCTTTAATTTATGTAGAATTACTCAAAAACTATTACTACTAAGTAATGTAATTCAATAATTAACAATTAATCCATTTTATTTATAAATTTATCAAGCTGCAAATTATTTTATAGTAACAACATGCACATATTTTTTTAGAACTAAAAATTACTAGTAATTCTATTATAATCGTCTTCAGAAACCATTAAAACAAAAAAAAAGGTTTTAATTTAATGACTTCATGAAAACACAAACAAAATTAAAAAAACCATACAAAAAATTTTGATCCAACTTAATGAGTCACGGTCAATGCCGGACTTTGGCGTTGACTTGTCTGAAAAAGTGACTTGGTCCCACTTAACAACTTAGAGTGTGTTTTGTGGTCCTTTTGAATAACTTTTGGCTTAATGCTGTTTTTGAACAAAAGTGAAAACTTTCTTGGTCCTTTTGAACAAATATTCTAATAAAATATCAGTAAAAATAATTTCAGTTCAGCAATAATAATTTAAATTCAGCAAAAATAAGTTCAACGGACATTGGTTTAAAAAAATGCGGCAAAGATTAGTTAGCATAAGCTTCTCAAACTGACCCTAATTTATTTGCACCAATAATACAACAATTGCCTTTTCCTTCCTTTGCATATAATATCATTTATTCACTAGAGCACTCTTCAATATTCTTTTATTGGTAGACACTATTCACATAATATAGAAACTTCTCAAGTCTCCCAGAAATTTGTAGTAACAAGCAAGATGAATTTATTACTTGAAAATACCTCTACATTCACATCAAATTTCTTGTCCTCAATACTTGATGTTAGATTACTTTGCACCAGAAAATTAAAGCACTTATAATAAGTGACATTTTGTAGTAATTAAGTAGTGATCAAATAAGTATTTGTATTTGTTGTCCGGCTAATCTATTTATGGCGGCATTCGAGGCGGCCGAGGCAGGTACACCACCTCAGTTGGCTGAAGCTCTTGCTGATACCAATATTCACTGGGACAGGTTTCCTTTTCTTTACCCTTTTGTTGTTTTACTACTTAAAGTAGTAATTAGATACTAGCATAATTGTTGTTTGCATAGGTTAATTATTAGCTTGTATGATTTAATATGATAGAGGTGATATAAGAGCAGGAATTTATGAATATGTAATGTACAATTAATATAATAGATCATGTAAAATATGGAGTATTATGATATTTTTAATGCTTTTGCTTGTGACAGTTCATGTTAGCTGGCCCCAAATCATTTTGGGACTAAGTCTTTGTTGTTGTTGTTGTTGTTTTCAATGCTATTGAATTGCTTAGACTGCATGAGGAAGTTGGGGATGGGATTGAAAATAATGGAAGCTTGAGCTGCTTGACTTTTAAACTTGTGAGCTCGACATGATATCGAAACCTTTGTTTTGGAGTATTATTTATGAGACATAAGATGTTCATTTATTGCACATATTTAGAAACTGTGGTAGTATATAAAATATTGAACTTAACATATACTTTATATAAAAGAAATGTAGTGTCTCACGAGCTTTTCTAGTCGAGTTAGTAGTTGTGAACTTGTGATTGAGTTTGAATTTTGATTGATTGAGTCAAGCTCGAGTAAGTGAGTAATTTGTGAGCTATCTCATGTTGTTATTATAAGTCCCCTGGCAGGGGAAAAAAAGGAAGGGGAACCGCTCTTGTATTGTATGGAGGATGGCAGAATTCAAACCTCTGTCTCGAGGGAGTAAAACAAGATGCAAACCACATACTATCTTCTCCGACCCTTTGTTCATTCTAATGCCTATAAAAATGGGATGAAAAAAGGGATTGAGTAATTGTTGGTGTAGTGCAAATTTGTAGTCTATTACCTTGGAATGAGCTTGAGCTGTGACATTGTTATTGTAAGTACATTTCTGTTTCGAATAGCAAATATAAAATGTGACATTCTAATGTCACCATTAGCATAACTATAGTGGACATGCCACTATAATCTCTATACACTAGATTCAGTGTTCTGGCATAGCTGATACTTAAGGTCTAGAATTGTGTATGAAAATGCTGAAGACATGACAATATATATGTATCTGAAACAGGTTGGACAAGACAAGATTTCATGTTATAGGTGCTATTCTGTTTACCGTTCAGTGTGGCTTGCTACATCCTACTACAGTTGTCAAGACTCGAATGCAAGTGGCTGGTTCAGGCCTTTCTCAGATGCGAGGAGTATCAGTGTTTGCACAGATACTCAAGACTGAAGGCATTCCTGGTGTTTTCAGAGGTTTTGGCACTTCGGCCATAGGATCAATACCGGGGAGGGTTCTGGTCTTGAGTTCTCTTGAAATGTCTAAAGATATGTCACTCAAGTATTTAGAGGGATCCAATATGCCAGAGGCAACTCGTCTTGGCATTGCTAACGGGGTTGCAGGCATGTTATCGAACTTAGTTTCCTGTGTATACTTTGTTCCACTGGATGTGGTAGGTAAAATAGTTTTACCCTTTCTGGATAAAACCTTTTGTTTGACTCCTACTCCTCTATATTATGCATAGAATTTTGAAGGGTGAAAATTGATAGAGCACAGAGCGTATTCTTAGACCTCAACCATCAGCTTAAGCTTTTGACTAACTTATGTTTTACAGGAATCTTTCTGTAGTATCATAGGTTCTTTGGATTTCTATACAATTTAACCTTCAATACGCATTACTTTCAACTTTGTTTTTTTTTTAAATGTGTGTACAGGTGTGCCAAAGATTAATGGTTCAAGAGCTTCCAGGAACCATGCCTTGCAATGGACCATTTGATGTTATACGTAAAGTGATGAGGTCAGAAGGGATCCGTGGAATCTACAGAGGGTTTGGATTGACAGCTTTAACTCAATCCCCTGCATCAGCACTTTGGTGGGGCACATATGGTGCAGCCCAACATATGATTTGGAGGTAGAGTTGCATTATTACCTGGGTTTGTTAATTTATTCCCCAACTGTTGCAAATTAGATCCTACACACGAGAATATGATAGACATCTACTGATCTTAATGTCTTTCTAACCATTTTAGGAGCTTGGGATATAGGGATAAAGTAGAGAAGAAGCCATCTTCTGTTGAGATGGTAACTGTTCAAGCCAGTGCAGGAATGTTTGCTGGTGCTGCCTCCTCGGTGATTACTACTCCTATAGACACTGTCAAGACACGGCTTCAGGTGATCATCTTTGAAGCATAAAAAATAATTCATGTTTGAGGATGGAGCTAAGCTAATCTGCTGCAGTTAATTTTTTGTCTTAGTGTTTTTTTTAACATTTAAGTTGTGTGATTAGGTCATGGACAATTATGGCGATGGAAGACCTTCAGTAATCAAAACAACTAAGGCACTTCTTAAGGAAGATGGATGGTGGGGATTTTATAGAGGTTTTGGACCGCGATTCTTAAATATGTCACTTTATGGAACCACAATGATTGTTACTTATGAGCTGATAAGTAAGTCTGTTTCTTCATCTTTAATATTTCCATTGTGATTTTTACATTTTGGATTGTGCAATTTGATTTTGCCGTACACAGAACCTGCTCTGCATGTATCTGGTGAGGGCCAAACAACTACTCCTGCATGTTTAATTTTAACATTTTCTGCTAAGTTAGGAAACCTGCACCGTTAATTGTTTAACAAATACCTGCATGCTTATCATTATGTAAGTAATAAAAATTATGATATCAGGCGCGTTTTAATAGTCTTTGCACCTTCATGTATAAGGTGAGTACAGAGACAAACTTAGATAAAGTAAGCACATGAACTGTATTGCATCACTAGTATGTAAGTAGTAAAAATTATGATATCAGGCGCGGTTTAATAGTCTTTGCACCTTCATGTATAAGGTGAGTACAGAGACAAACTTAGATGAAGTAAGCACATGAACTGTATTGCATCATAATCTTAGGAATATATATACTTCGTATGACTTAACTTCTAAAGGAAACAGCTTTTGGTGAATTGTATCAGTATAGCTCATTAGCTCACTATGTATTCCAATGAAAGTAGCATATGCATACTTTCTCAAGGAACTCTTAAGTCTTGACCACTTTCATAACTTGATAATATGATCCAAACTTGACTGTTATATTCGGAACCCTGCCCTCACAGCACTTCTAATTACCCTAAAGGCCTAAAGCTAAAAAAACAAGAAATGCTATCAAGATTGGACTTTTCATTATTGATCCATGCTTCCTAATCTGCATTTTTTCATCTCCATCAAAATATTATCTTGTTTGTTTTAAGGAAATCATGAACAATTGGACACAGATCAAAACTCTTTCCTGACAGCCAGCTTTAATAGTTCCATATTTCTAAGTGCTGTTTGGGTTAAAAAGAATGTATCTGATCCTGTCGTTGCATCATATATCACCGTGTTTCCACTGTCCTGTATGATTTGGAAAATAAAGGTCCTAAAAAATAATCAAGGCTTTTGTGTGGATAGTTTGTCTGCAAGGGCAAAATAAGAATGACGACCTGTTTCAATAATTTGAATGATCATCAGACTTTGTATTACGGATACTTGAGTATGGTAACATAGGAAATCTTGACTTAAGTATGTCTTTTAATAGTAACCTGGCATATACATGCATATACTCCATAGCTGTGATCTGTTAGCTCTGTATATATGTCGATTATACAGGTAATCATCATTTAGTATACTACCAGGCCAGTACTTAACAAGCTCCTTTCATCTCTCAAGTTTACCTCTTTTACCATTGTTAATTTTAACACTATTTTCCTTCTCAACAGAGAGATTATCTGTGAAGCAGTGATGAAAGAAGGAAGAAAAGTTGTCGCGCCACTAGGAGATTTTGTCTGCCTGGCTCACCACTCTTCATGAATTCTCTATCTTATCTTCAAATGATTTTGTTACTGAAGATGTATACATACAAAGTAGAATATATCTTTTTTCAGATGCTCGAATTAGCACTTGCAAAGGTATACTTAGCCATTTTGATATTCGACCCTCCTTAGACTGGATCACTGTCATAAGAAAAACACTTCAGTTTCCATTTCCATAAAATTTTGTAGTTCTTTCACCTAGAACTAATTCTGGTTTTATCAATGTAAGCCAAGATCATTTAGTCTTTCACATTGAATGCGCGCTATAGGATTGCTGTAACTCTATTTTGTAGTTTAGTATTACTTGCAGATACTTTGTATCTTAGTTTATACATGCTAGCCACACTTCATTTATACTTGCAAAATACTTTTTGGATCACGGAGTCTATTCAATTTTGTTCTTCCAAGGATGCCTTTACAATATGTCTACTCAGGTGCTGATTGCATAGGCTACACTAACAACTCTCGTGCTGCGTCGAATTATGCCATCTTTAAGAGGAATAACTTAGGCTTTCATTGCTATAAGAATGTAAAGATACTAGCTATATTAGTGCAAATAAATATGCTATATTTAAGTTTATCTTTTACGTGGCTACCACTATGGGTATGATACATTTAATATGAGCTCGGTCTTGAGATAAGAGGCTAGAGAAATTAGCTAGCTCTCTAATTTCTAAGCGTGATGCCAATGTTCGAATCTCACTAAACTTATTATTATAGGACGGAATCACCTCTCCTAGAATGGGCCTTCTTATAAAGTTCAAGTGTAGTAATAATATGAGCCCGGTCTTGTGATTTATCTAATTTAATAAACTTCTCGGTGAAAATACCTCTTTTACTTATTAAATAATGAATCCAATAATTCAACATGATAACAAACACAACAATATAAACCATCACTTTAATTTGTTCATGAACATGTGGATGCATGCCAGCTAGATTAGTTGGTTAAAATTTTTAGTGTGCTATTTAAATATCGAATTTGTTCTGCATCAGTGTCTCTCTTTACGCACAAAAATATGTTCATGGATATATTGCTCAGGAGATCTCTTTAATTTGTTACACATTCTAGACGAGTTTTGATCCTTAATTGCTCATTGATCTATGCATGCAATAGGTGCCCCTTGGCAGAAATTGTGGCATTAATCATATATGTGTATAAGTATTTTAGTATAAACATTTTCATTATGGTATACAAGTTCTAAGGTCTCAAAGGGTATAGCCTACAAAGTATTATTTATTACAACATTGTTCACATTTTCTGTACCTATTTGGCAGTGTGGTGAAGAAGGATAATTTGTTTTGTTGTAATTGAAAGAGGATCTATACAAAGAAACAGATTTTGAAGACTAAATAAATTGTTAGTTTATAATTTCCAATCTTCCAACAGTAGATCTAATGATCCATGAACATAACTACAGCCGTATGCAACATACAAACTTATAACTTTACAATTACATTGATTTTGATAAACTTTTCATCATAAAATAATTTGATAGGTCACGCATATTACTGCCTCATTGGTAGTTGGTAGATACCAATACAGCTTTACCAGGGCACATGTCACATACTTTTAGTTCCCTGATATGGATTTATGATTTCCGCTGGTAAAGAATACTTTCTCCGTTCTTTTATTTGATCTGTTTTATTTTTCGAACTTATTAATATAAATTTTAAATATTAATAAGATTAATTTTTTTTAAGAAGAAATTACTAAAGTTTTATAATGTGATAGATAGTAGTTATTCAGATTATTCTATCAAGATCTCATTAGAATTTGTTTTTCCTCATTTAATTCACAAAAAGACGGTTAAAAGAAGAATGATAAATAGTGTAAAAGTAAGAACGAATCAAGTAAAAAAGAACAAAGGAAGTTTGTAATAGACATAAAGTAATAGTATATGGCAAATAGATTGTTTGAATCAAGTTCAGTTCGGATTGATTTAGGTCATTTGTTATTCGGTATGACTAAGTGCAAGTTTGGTTGTATGACACTCCTTCGTTCCTAAATAAACTACAATGATTGTAATGTTGTATACGTGAGAATACAACAATGTAAAACAAGTATAAGTGAGATTAATTGAAAAAAAAAATTCAATCAAATAATAGTAAACTCATATCAAATTAAAAAAAAATGACTCTATAATTTAGAATTACAGCTCAAAGAGGCAAATAATCTTGTAAAATTACAATAATAAATATATCATTAATTTTTATATATTTTCAAGTCATATATATGATATTATTAATTATTTATTTATGAAATTATATTTTCTTTTTACATGGTTGGTAGTGGACGTGGAGAGTTTCAAATTGGCCCGTGAATCGTTTAATTCTGTTGTCTCATCTCTTCATTCTACGCCTATAATATTCTATCTTCCAACCACAAGAAGCAATCCAACAAAAAAGAGTCACGAGATTTTGTGTTTTTATTTTTTATTTTTTATTTTTAGGTTAGACTAATTGTTATTTGACATGAACCACAACAAATAGATTATAGATTTATCTTTCTGTCCTCTTTTTATTCTTTCTTTCTTTCCATCATCAAATTGTCCAAACAATGCTTATCAAGTTTTTCTGTATCACTTTTATTACACTAAAAAACAATCCATTATTGAAATCACATGACATTTTATATGTTGAAGAAGATCATAGAATGATGTACGTCAATTCTAATTGATCACAACTTTATGTGTTAGGAAATTAATTACAATGAATTGAAATGTTTATCAAACATATAATTGAAATAGAAACACTTGTATTTGACTCTTATTGATCAATTCACATGTAATTGTGTATCATACAATTTTATACAATCTTTATACAACATAGTTTTGGTTATGCTAAAAATAAGTTATAAAAAGTTTTAGTAAAATAAGTCTTAATCGAGTACTTCAACTTTGTCAAAAAAAATAAATAAATAATAATAATAATAATAATAATAATAATAATAATAATAATAATAATAATAATAATAATAATAATAATAATAATAATAATAATAATAATAGACCTGCCGATGTGTTACTTTAGTCATGGGATCGTGGTCGTGATGTATGTGTCGACTTCACAGGGTCTTCTCCTTTGACACAGACAGGGATATCTGACTTTGTTCCGGGACGGGTTGTGGTTGATGCGGCTTATCGGGAGCGGGTTAAGTATGAAACTCGTTGTCTGGCGATTGGATATGATTTCATTCTCTTCTCCTTTTCTTCGCTTGGGGATTTAGAGAAGGAGGCTGTTGCGTTGCTGAAGCGGATTCAAAGGTTCTCAATGACGCAAGACATTGGGGCTCGTGCTGCAGCTCATATATTCACTAGGGTAGGCTTTGCTATAGCTAGAGGAGGGGGCCCAGATTGTATCTCGGCTTCCCACTAATTTATGGTAGGTTGTATGACTTTTGTTTTTGAGATAATAATAATAATAATAATAATAATAATAATAATAATAATAATAATAATAATTAAATCAACTATTTCCCTCTTCTTTACTACGTAATACAAGTGGAAAAAAATGAAAAACAAAAATAATATGATCAATAAATAAATAAAATAGGAAAAAGATATATGCAGCCCTAAAATTAACATTTATTACACCGATTTACTCGTAAATTGTTGATAAATTCCCAACTTAATACTAAAAAAGGAAGTATATTAAATGCTTATATGCAGCCCTAAATACTTCAAAGTAAAAGTAATTTGATAAATAAATAAATACTATATTATAATTATAGTTTATTTATTTATAATATCATAAATACTTCAAAGTAAAAGTAATTTGATAAATAAATAAATACTATATTATAATTATAGTTTATTTATTTATAATATCATAAATTCCTTTAAATATTCCGTACATAATGCTTTGTATGAAGCGACGTACAATTATACAAAGGCCAAATGAATTTGACCCCAATCTATTTTGGTTCATTAATGATACTTCTAATTATTGGATCATATTTTGAAATTAAAGACCAAGTACGAAGTAATTATTAGGAGAACGAGGGAATATTATCAATTTATCATTCATGTACCAACTAAACAATTGTGAATTGTCGCTTATAATATGAAAAGAAAAACCACTAACAACTAATTCATTTAAAGAAACTATGGGCACCCTGTCCTCTATTCCACCTGAATTAAATTGTACTTATAAATACATACAATATTGTTTTTAGTAGATAGGAAAAATGTCAAGTCGAAAATTTTCTGATTTTTAAACTCGGGTTAAAAACCTTTAAGTGAGAGATTGTTAAATACATCCAGGTGCATGGTTTACCCATGAGCATTTTATTCTTATTTTGATGATTGTTTTTCATTTATTCATCAAATGAAAAGCAAAAACTAACTTCGGGTTGGTTGGATGCACGATACATCCGAGTGTGTATAAAATATTGGGATAGGTAGCGCGTTTTGTGTGCAGCTTGTAAAAGAATACAATAACTCTATAACACTAATCGAGTAAAGCTTATAACATTGACCAAATAACCTCTATAACATAACACTGACGAAGTAATCTCTATAACACTAACAAAGTAACCCCCATGAATCCATGATGGCTAGCCACACCGTGTGGGCCGTGTGGCCAACCACGCACATATGAAAATTAGTAAAATTTATTTTCCTAGAAAACAAATTCTTATAGAACTTTTTTTATTATATATTTTTCCATTAGGTCAAGTCTTATTTGGTGGAAAAAGTATATATTGAGTGTAGACTTAAGATAAATAATCAAAAAACTAAAGAGAAAATAACTCAATTTGATATCAAATCCAAAAATATGGTACTCAATTTGTTAATATCAGATTAATCCGACATGTTGGTATTTGATACAATATACGATTCGAAAATTGATTACCCAATATACGAGTATATAAAATAATGACTTACTTCATTATTAGTTTTCATATACCATATATATCCAATAACAATAATAGTTCGAGTATTCGACCCATTATCATCCAAACCCTATTTTGTAATAGTAGAGTATGGGGAGAGATATGTAAGCTCGCACTGGCAGTATACAATAGAGCTAGTTACCGACGTGTTGAGCTCTCTAGTAGGAACCTTAAAAGGACGGAAAAGGCTAAAAAATGGAAATTGCATCATATTGTACAATAAACTAGTTTCAAAGCTTCGACAAACAAGGGGGGACTTAAAAATAACAGAGATCAAATTAAAAGTAGAAAGTGGGACATTTTAGATAGTTTGTGAGCCACAAAATTTGCAACAAAAACAATACTTCTACTACTACCTTGTTTTTACACTTCACTAAAAACATTGAACGAAAGAGATAAACATAACAATAAAAAA